TAGTCCAGCTTTCATCTCTTTCAGTTCGGCTTTGATCTCAGCTCTCATCTCTTCATATCCAGCTTTTATCTCGGCTAGAGAAGTCCATCAAAGTCTTCATTCCCTCCACCATGGCTTTCCTCTGTAGGCGGGTTACTGGCATTCACTCAGAAATCCCACTTCTAACACCAATTGTTGCGTTTTTCTTTTTTCTGATACCAGTTGTTATGCTATTTTCTTCCTTCACGTTCGTATGGGGTTCGTATGAATTTGGAGTGAATAATGACGACACTACTTGATGAAGTATTGAAACACACTTTATTAGCCAGTATTGTCAGGACAGCTAAGTTACTTTTACAGTCATCGAAGATCTACTATAAACACTCGCTGGAACAATCAGCAACACAGTCTCCTGGTTATCAGGCTATCACATTGGAGACAGCCTCACTGCAAAGCACCAGAGTACAGCTCTCGACTCTGCTCAGTCGTTCTTGGAACTCCACGTACTCTCGCACTCTCGTGCTCTTACCACGCCTGTACATTTTGTAATAATTTATAAAAATATATACAATTATAATCATATGTACAATCAAACTTGTTTTTATGCAGTAGATAGGGACTACATAAAAGAAACTGCACAAAAAAAATATTCAGAAATTTCATAAATATTTATAACGAATAATTTTTTACAACAAATTCGAGAAATATTATATGCATTGGAGAGGGACCACATAAAAAAAGTCACACTTAAAATATATGTCAAAGATTTACGAAATAGTGAGAAAGTTCTTTCAAACAAAATAAATAATTAAATTACACATGGAAACATTTTTAAAAAATTTAATTTCTCATTTTACACATGGGGCAAGTTTTCAAAATGCACATAATTCACTGCTGTTCATCGTTGTCCAAAACGTACATCTTCTTGTGAGGAGCTGTGTCAAAATTGCTTTTATCACTTGAAGACATAACAATTTTTTTTTCTTTTTATTTTCCCTCCCCCCTTTTTTGTGTTGTTGTTGTTCTTGTTGTTACCGTTAAGTCAGTGATAAATTTTTGCAACAATGATCATTTGATTAGCTGCTTGTAAACATCACAATAGCTGCATTCGTTTGTTGCAGAGCTAACAGATTCATTTATTTTACTTACACTTTTTTGTATGGCTCTTATAGTGGATTTACTTAGTTTAAACCCGTTAGCAGCAGCTGTGGATCCTTCACCATCTGGTAGTCTTTGCAATTTTAGTTTCAAATCTTTCTTTTCTCTTTTTCTTGGCTACAATTATTCATTTTCAGGGAGTACTTATATCTAAAAATAAAATAAAAATCATAAAAACTATATCTAAATAGAAAAGATAATTCATTTACCTTTAATCTCACTGAAATGAATCCTTAATTGCACAAGTCATGGAAAAATTCTGAACATGAAGCATGTCAACAAAGATGACTGAATATGCATTATCTGGAGACTGTTGATAACAAATTAGCACAGTGCCTAAAGGTGAACAGTACCTTATAGTGTACATATGTACACTGATAGAAAACATTACAAAGGTGTTATAATACCAACACCTTTGGAATTCATATACACAGTCCAGTCACATTAATGTGACCACCACGTACTTTCCATGTCAGAGTTAAATAACCAATCACAGAAGGCAGGTGGCAGCACAGTGCAGTTGAGCGTATATAAAGGGTGTGTGAGGGCTTCGGAAAACATTTCAATCGTTGGCGTAATGCAGAAACGAAGCGATTTATCCAACTTCCAAAAGGGCATGATCATTGGCTTTCGGGTCAAGGGTGGAAGCATTTCCGAAACGGCTGAGTTTGTGAACTGTTCGCGTGCCGCCGTGGTAAAAGTGTACCGTGCATGGCAAAATGGGACTGTCCAAAATCAGCGACGTGGCAAATGTGGTGCACCACGGGCCATAGATGACAGAGGCGAACGACGGTTGCGGAGATGCGTTCGGACAGATAGACGGGCTACGGTTGAGCAACTGACCACCAAAATGAACCAAGGGGCTACCAAAAGTGTCTCCCAAAGTACTATTCAGCGAACATTGCTGCGTCTGGGCCTCCGAAGCAGACGCCTGGTTCGTGCACCTATGCTGACTGCTGTTCATCGACAGCGAAGGCTAGAATTTGCACGCCAGTACAGCAGCTGGACGTCCACTGAGTGGCGACAGGTTGCGTTTTTGGATGAATCGCGTTTTATGCTCCATCGGACAGATGGACGTTGGCGTATAAGGCGTGAAACCTCTGAAAGGAACCACCCTGCAACCATTGCCGGAACGGTCCAAGCTGGAGGCGGGAGCATTATGGTCTGGGGAATGTTTTCCTGGCATTCTCTAGGTTCACTGATCATTGTGGAAGGCACAATGGATCAATACAAGTACGCATCTGTCCTTGCGGACCATGTTCACCCCTACATGCGCATTGTTTTTCCTCATGATGATGGCATCTTCCAGCAGGACAATGTGAGGTGCGGTGCCATACAGCTGCCAGTGTACGTGCGTGGTTCGAAGAGCACCAGGATGAGTTTACCGTCCTCCCCTGGCCAGCAAACTCACTGGCCTTAAACCCAATCGAGCATCTGTGGGACCATCTCGATCGAGTTGTTTGCGCCATGGATCCTCAACCGCGTAATCTAGCGCAGCTGGCCACGGCATTAGAGTCGGCATGGCTCAACATCCCAGAGAACACCTTCAGGGACCTATGTGACTCTCTTCCTGCACGTCTCGCAGCAGTCCGCTCTGCGAAAGGTGGTTATTCTGGCTTTTGACAGATGGTCACATTAATGTGACTGGACTGTGTACCGCCATTAAAACAAAATTGCTGAAAGAAAAAGCATTGAAAAGGACTACACTGAAAGAGGTTTGATTGTACATGGTTATAAGATTACTGTTAGTTGTGCCCCCCTTTTTTCATAATTTGTAATGTATGACAAAACTGATCATATGTGACATTTTATTTACTCTGAAACACTATGAAAGTGGAAATGAATTAGTCTAACGACACTCTTTGATTAACATTTAATGTGTCATACATTTAAGGGAATAAAATAAATTTACAGTGACATTATAAAAAACTATTATAATGTCAGCTTACATAATTTTGTCCATTCATCTTTTTTTGTACAATTGCTTCCAAAGTTGTAAAATTACAAAAAAGATGAAACGTGCGAGTAATTATGTACCAAATAAATTGATACATCGTAGAAATTATAAAAATTCTATTAAATTCTAATATCAAATTCTCTTAGCACAGAGATCTTCTCAAATAGCACAGAGGGATCATATTTCTAGAGATCAATTTCATAACATATGTATTATTGTTAGTAGATCTCGGACAGATTGGTTTATGTAAAAGCACTGATGATAAATTTTCTTTTTTGGCTCAGGAATGTGCTTCAGAAGATTTTTCATAGTCAAATTGCAAATATGCATCTCAAAACCATTAGTAACCTCTATTCACTACAGAATTTTGTAACAATTTTCTCTTATCTCTTGCTATTAAGCCAATTTCTCCTAGCCATCTTCTAAAAGTATTCTCATAATCATAACTGTCATATTTTATTTTTATACTTGATCCTAAGTGCAGCCTAATAGTGGCTAAGTGACTAAATTCACAGAATACAGTAATGTAATCCTGTATTTTAATTCCAAGAGTCTGAATGAGTTATGTGCGAAGTTCTCGTGGTTTTTCTCATATGTAAATAGATATGAACCAGTTTACCTATAATAATCAAATAATTCAGTGGTTCCAGCTAAACAAAAGAGTAAAAAGAGTAATTCTGTCAGAGGTTTAAAACTATGGGATAAATCTTTCTGAATGGGAAATTTTTCACTCTCACCTGATAAATATCGAAACAGATATAAGATCATTCAAGATCTTGAATAGTATTAAAGTGCCAGTGAACAGAAATTTAAGATAGCAGTTTCAAAAATTATTTATTTGTGCCTTCAAGTGGCACAAGTGAGTGGAACCACTTATAAGCCTATAATTCTTAAATTTGAAGACATAGTAAGAAGTGTTTTTCATAGTGCTGCAACTCTTAAAAAATCTTTTTGCAATATAAAGAAATTAGCTGAAATTTAGGCTACTTAGCTTAAAATTTAGAAATTTGGGATAGCCTTGTAAAATATCAAATTTTACCAGAACTGAGCGTACAAATAATCTGAAAATGAGCCATTTGGATGGAATTTTATTTTGCCATCTTGCTAATAATTGGAAAATACTAAATTACTATTTGTAGTGTAATGAAAAAAAATTAGTTTCTCAATTGAAAACAGTGCTTTCATTCACTGGCTTTTATTCATGAGACCTAATAAAAAGAATTTAATACATCTTTTTCTTGTGATTTTGGAAATTATATTCGTCATAGTGTTGCTATCTGTTATCTTTAATGCTCTGAAAAATGAAATTTTTAATTAGATTTAGTTTTAGAGTTTTGATACAAATCAATATAAAGTTATATTTTATGGTATGTGTTTTTGTGAGAGAAAGAAGTATTTTTACTTTATATTTAGACACTGAATTATGTGCCTGAAATAATGAAAAAACTAAAGCATTTGACATTGATATTTTATAAAAATTACTTTATTTCAAGTTAATTGAAAAGTAAAAAGTTTTTGCATGCTTAAAATTCAATTTATCTGTAAAATCTATTTTACCTAAGAATGATAAATTAAAATGTTTATTAAGTATTTAAACTACATATATAATAATGTATAATGATCCTGTTCAACTTAGACGTTCATTATAAATTGCATTTCAAAGTATAATTCAACTCTTATATTTAAATTCTGTGGCAATTATTTTATATCTTTATTTATATCATCTTAATTATTATTTATATTGTATATACCTTAACTTTATATTATCTTCATTGTTTAAAATGTAATTTTAAATTTTTTTGTTTAATTTTCATATTGCATTTAAGTTGCGTAATGAAATTCTTAATTGATTAAAAATTATTAGCATTTTAACTGATCTTATACATTATTGTTTTTATGTTTGCAGGTCATTAATCTTTTTGTTGCTGTGATCATGGACAATTTTGATTACTTAACTAGAGATTGGTCAATACTGGGTCCTCATCACTTAGATGAATTCATTCGACTTTGGTCTGAATATGATCCTGATGCAAAGTATGATAATAAACTAATTAATAAAGCAAACATTTTGTAGAGTCATCATTTTTATTGTAATTGTTATTTTTGTTATGTAATTATTCTTTCTTTGTTTCATAGTTAATGTACTAAGATATCTAATTTCTAGAAATGTTATTTATAAATTTATTTTGATGTTGTAAAATGAATGTAACTTAGTTTCTGTTTCATAACTTTTCAAATTAGCAGTTCTTATTTTCATTTTCATATTTCTCATTCACATTTAGTGGTAGAAATTAACCAACATAATTTTATAGAATTTTCTGTAACTAATGTTGTTTTAAATTAATTTTTTAGGGGAAGAATAAAGCATTTGGATGTTGTAACATTGCTCAGAAAAATTTCTCCCCCCTTAGGATTTGGGAAGTTATGTCCTCATAGAGTAGCTTGCAAAGTAATTTTTTTATCACTCTTCTTTTCATTCTTTTTCAAATAATAATATTTAGATATTTATATTTTCCCATGTGGAAAGTGGAAATTTTAAGCTGGTGTTACTATTACTGTAATAAATATTTGTTTAAAATCAAAAATACTTTATAAATGACTTTATTTTTAATATTAATTTACAGTACTTCAATATTCTTATTTCAAATTAAAGTTTCTTGAATTAACTTTACAGTATGTTCTCTGGAGTACTAAAATATGATTTTTATATTGTGATCTGAAAAGTTTTAGTTTTTTTATCTCAGTGTTTTATACTTTTAAATAATTAGTGTAGAAATTTTCTAAATTAAATTTTTCAGGAGCTGTTATGTTAAAGAATGCAGTTAATTATTTGTGATTTTCATATAAAATGATGAATTTTGAATTCATTTTGAAATTACTTTTTGGTTTACACTGTGCTAAAATCTGGGATGTAATAAGTAGTTCATGAAGATATGTTAATGAAAGATTAAAAAATATTTGCAATAAAATTTTCTTAAAAGAATATAAATTAATTTTCTAATTTACGTCTTAATATCACAAATCTGTTGAATAATAAATAATAAATATTGTTGTGTGCATGTGATTTTGTAATGGATTGAATGCACAAGTCAACAAAAAGTTAATAAAATATATTCTTATCCCAAGAAATAAAACAAAATGCTGAAATTTCCTCAGAGATATTCATACAGTATCACAAATCTCACAGTAATTATATTTTAAACTACTAAAACATTTAATAGAACTCAATTCAAAAAACACAGGATAAGCTAATCCAATTTCGCTGTGAATTCACTACAATCAATAACAGCACTAAGTAAACAACTAAATTGAGATGTTTTTCTTTGGCTTTTATAAGCTTTTAAAACCTGCATGAGAACATTCTGGTATTTTCTCGATTTTTCTGGTTAGCAAAAGAGTACAATTACGAGATATGTATTTATTAAAATGTTAAATGTGCATGCTCTTGTATTTAAATTTTTCCGGCATAGCTTTCTTTTCAAATAAGTCTCGTGCTTCATTGCAGGGGAATATAAAACAATTTTAATTACATATTCTACTAAAAATAAATAAATAAATACAAAATCCGTAACACTACAACCTTCCCAAGGACTGCACGTCCCAGGCAGTACAATCCCTGGACAGGAAGCCAAACTTACAGCTAAGGCAAAGCTGCAATAAGTAAGAAATTAAATACTAAATACAAATCAAATCAAATACAAATCTAATGAATGCATAATACAAATTAAGAAACAAAAAGGACCATGGTCTTATACTATTTACATTATATACTCTACGTACTATGGCCATAGTAAGGAGCTAACCTGTCGTAATGAACAACTTTAGGTTTAGAGTTCAATGACTTACAGTTCCGAACCACGACGTCGTTCAGCCTGTTTAGGATTGTGTATGGACCATCCCAAGGTGACTGTAGTTTACGACAGAGTCCTTTCCATCGAGTCGGATTCCACAATCACACTTTGTCTCCTTTGTTGAATCGATGTTCAGTAGCTCTCATGTCATATCAGTCTTCATCTTCTCCATCGTCAAGTTGACTCGCTCTCGTGCAAAATTGTGCTTAACTTCAAACCAGGCCTGGAGATCTTGGATGTATTCCTCAGGTGATGAAGGTGCATCCGAAGGGCGACCAAACAAGAGATCACAAGGCAGCCGAAGGCCACAACCGAAGATCATCTGGGATGGAGAATAGCCAGTAGTCTTGTGTTTCTCTTCCACCCTAGTATGATTTTGGCAGCTTTCTGAGCAGGTTCTTTCAGACAAGATATCAGCGTTTCTAGGTGAGGATCCCTTCTGATGATGGATAGTTGAGTCTTCTGATTCTGAAAGCAGTCTACTGTTTTTGAAGTCCAAGAAAAAACTGCATTTTCTTAAAAAGTCCAATCCAAGTATGCAGGGATCTGTAATCTCTGCCAGGTATACCGTGTGATGGTAGGTGGTACTTCCAAATGTGATGTTCACATTTAACTTCCCATCTATGTTGATTTTATCACCAGACGCAGTCTGGAGAGCAACACAGGCGTCCAAGTGAGTTTATCTTTGAACTATTGAGCTAAATCTTTCCGAATGATGGTAACATTAGCTCCTGTGTCAATGATCATATTCCAAGGAACTCCATCGATATGCCCATTGATGGTTAGTTCATTACTGTTTCCACTCACTGCAAAAATCTTGAGCTCTTTAAAATGGTGTTTTTCATTATCTAGTAATCTCCATTTCTCGATATGATCATTAGTTTGTTTCCTGCATTGTTGCTTGGAAATGGTCTTATTTTCCGTACCCTGGGGTGTTCTGCAGTTCTTACGCACATAGCCTTCAGCTCCGCATTTCCAGCACTTTGATTTCTTGTCACTCCTTTTCCATCCCATGGCATTTAATTGTCTGTTTAAATCGTCTGTCTTATTTTCCGTTCTCTCTGGTGTTCTGCAGTTCCTTCATATGTGGATTTCAACACTGCAATTCCAGCACTTTATGATTGGTTTCTTTTCACTTCTGTTCCACCTTAAGGCTTTGACTGGTGTTTTCAAATCATCTGTTTTATTTTCTGTGTCCTGGGGTGTTTTGCAATGTCATCGTATGTGGCTTTCAGTACCACATTTCCAACACTTTAGAGCCAGCTTGTTCTCACTCCTACTCCATATCAAAGCATTGACTTCTCTGAATAAATCATCTAAACGAGCCATCAATTTATCCACTGGCTCATGGACTTTAACTGGGTAGTGATCTTTATAAGTTGTTTGCTGGGCTGCCTCAAATTTCATGGCATAAACCAGAGCGCTTTTTACGTCTGTGGCATCTGCCATTCACAAAGCTTTCTGTATTTCAGGATCCCTTATGCTGTTGATGAAGTACTGAAGGGACAGAATTTCCCTTTTTTCTCTTGGGCACTCCAAAAAGGCAAGGTGGGACAGCCTTTCAACATCCATGGTGAGCTCCTGGAGTGTTTCCGTTAGCTTCTGTTGATGGGGTTTTAATTGAAGCCTGCTGTAGTCTTTTAAACACTTCTCCCCAATGCACCGGACAGAGCTTCAAAATCTAGTCTTTTATTTTCGGGAAGAGTCTGCTCTCAGAGAAGCGGCAAGATGACAGGCCTAAGCTTGAGGATCCCATCCTTTCGCTTCTACCATTATAGAAAACTGTGTCTTATATACTTGCCAGGAGGTCTTACCATCATAAGTAGATAGCTTCAAAGAGGAATGAAAAGGCATGGGTAAAAATTTAAATCCATCAGAATTGCTTCATGATGGCACTATGCATTTCTTTAAGGTGTCAACTTCTTTGTCAATGGTAGCAGAAACCCTGTCTTCAATCTGTTGGTGCCACGGCCGACACTCTCTCTTCTATCTGTTCTTTTACAGAAGAAACCCTTTCTACTATTTCTTCTTTTACCAAAGAAACTGTTTCTTCAATGTGTCCAACTTTATTTTCAAACGTGTCACTTATGTCTTCCATAGCCTCAAATTTGTTTCCTATTATGTGGGTAATTTCTCTTTTCATTTCCTCTTAACCTGCCTTAGACTTTCTTGAACAGCCTTCATTTCTTCTTTAAAAGGTACTTGATATGTTTTCATCTCTTCTTTAATGGAATTCTTGGCCTGCTGTGATTTCTTTAAATGCAGCAAAGGCTGTTTTAAGTGCTCTCCATCGCTCTTGTCATTGGCATTCAAATCCCACTTCTAACACCAAAACGTGCTGCATGCATTTTGATTCGTAATTGGATTCGTTATTGGATTGAATGCACAAGTCAATAAAAAGTTAATAAAATTTATTCTTATTCCAAGAAATAAAACAAAATGCTGAAATTTCCTCAGAAATATTTGTACAGTATCACAATCTCTCACAGTAGTTATATTTTGAACTACTTAATTATAAACAGAACTCAATTCAAAAACACAGAGAAAGCTAATCTGATCTCACCACGAATTCGTTACAATCAATAACAGTAAGTAAACAACTGAAATGAGAATTGTTTTGATCCAGCTTTTATAAGCTTTTTAATCATGCACGAGAACATTCTAGTACTTTCTCGATTTTTCAAGATAGCAAAAGAATACAATTACGAGATATCTATATTAAATGTTAAATGCTCATGCTCCTGTATTTTTAATTTTTTGGCACAGCATTGCACAAGGAAATGAAACAATTTAATAACAATTCTACTAAAAATAGCAAATTAAATACAAAATCCATAACAATATGAAATAATATAATATCAAGGCTGATGCCAAAATCAGGGTGGCAAAATTTTAGAATTTAGTTCACCAAGAAACACAATTTAGGGCAAATTTTTAGAATTTAGGCCAGGCACCTGTGGTATATATTGTATACTGAGACACATATGATGAATCTTTTAATGAATTGTTGGTTTTCAATTTCCTTGCTTTCTTTAATTGCTTCAACATTTGTGTCTAATGGAAAGAAAAAAATATAAATAAAGGGAATTAAGAGAAAGACTTGTGGGATCAAAAGGAAAAATTCAAGTAATTTTGTTTTCACTGTTCTTCCAAAAATTGCCCAAAAGATAAGAAATTCATCACAAATTTCCTATAAAATGCGGTACTATGCATTAATACCATGAAGGCACTATTCATTTTGTAACGTTTGTGGAATTTGTTAAGTCTATAAATTCGCCTTCAAATTCTTCTAAACCTTCTGAGGTGTAAGATCTAAATTTTGAAAGGAAAATTATCCCACCCAACTCTGTAAGAATAAAAAGCCAGCAGACTTTTGGAAAAAAAAATCAGAAAAGAAAAGTGTAAAGTTAATTTTCAAGAGAAAACTGATACACATTTAAATATTCTGAAACAGCTACATGGGAAAAAATATAGAAGATGAATTAAATTAATTTTTAAATAATTAGAGTAGCATTTTTGTTTTTCTAAGAAGTGTTTCAGAAACTAGGCTTTACAGCATCCTTGATCTTACTTATTTTTCAAAATCAAAATATTTTGA